CATGCCAGTCAATTTTACAGATATTTTAAGTGAGAAGGATATGGTGAGTATTTGTTTGGAGTCAAAACTTCTCAGATAGTCACATCTGCATCCTATGCGTGCATAGACCTATCCTAGCGCAGATTTTAAACACTATCTATATTAGCTAGTATGACCCTTCTGTTATTGTTCAAGAGAAAACAAATGGGTAGCTTGTGCCCATTCAACCGCCTACTGCAACAATGAAGTACAACAACTATGAAGACTGGGGAACATTAAATCCCTTTAAAAGCATCCATATTTTGATTTATACACACACACGTACATATTTACATACACACATAGAGACTACCTGTATACTGCTGATTGGAAGTATATTGTACCCAAACCCACGTAGCGTAAGTCAGCACAGATTCTGATTCCCTACTAGTCACTACATCGTTTCAAATTCATTACACGAAATATTGCTAATTAGAAACTGTGATTACTTCTTTTCCCAGGATCAGTTTAAGGATATATACAGACTAGGGTTCTCTCAAAGAAACAGAATGAGGATGGAGAAATACACAGTCATAACAATTCTAAATAGTACATATATATGCAATATAAAATTATTAAATAAGACCTCTTATAAGCCAAAATGGTGGATCACTGAACATCTGTTTCAAACTACACACAACTGAGGAGTAACTGCTTAGGTTCTTTGAAACTGGAGGATTCTAAAGAAATTAAAAGGATCAGATGATTCATTTTCTAAAGGTTTTAATTCCCCATGCTTACACACTGGCAATCATGCAAGTTACAAGATTCAGTCATGGGGCTTAAATTCAGAGAATTATTTTGTTCCTAATCATGTCTAAAACTTCTTGGAGGAGGTCAAGATAAAGAACATTTAGCAGAAAAATGTCACAAAATGGAGGGAGAACTTTCGATAGAAATTCCCAAATTTCACACATGTTCTTTAGATAGAGATTAGCAACTTCCTCACTGTGTTGGTAAACGAGTCCCAGAAATTTAGGAATTTCTTTCCAGGCTTCAGAGACACCCATTCTAGTCTCAAGGGCTAGCCTTCCTTTAAGGAAAGGAAAGGAAACTTTGGTCTGCCTGAAGTGTACATGGTAGTTCACATACTGCAAGCAGTGGCCTCCTGGCAAGCAAATCCATTATGACTGAAAATAATAAACATTGCTGATAAGCTTTTTATGTGAAAATCAACACACTGAATCTAGTCTAATATCTGACATCTTGAAGTCATCTCTCCTGGTGGACACCATCAGAAGACAGCCATTTCGCAATCCTACACACAGGAGGATTCTTCTGTCTCTCTGCGACACTGCTCTGCCCAAGTACTTGCCTGGCCTGATTCTAAAGATGACATTAAGCTGGGCTTCACCCATTTTACTTAGTAAAGAAGTCAAATTTAGTTCATCAGAGTTGTTCCACCACTCATAATCCTCTCCAAAAGTCTTTAACCATGGTAAGCTGACATATCTCAGGCTGGCCGTAGTCATAAAATCTATGCAAAGGGCTAGTTCAAAACAGATTGTGCAGTCACAAGCATCAGAATCTCAGAGGACACTTTTGATCAAAACTCACCTGACACCTAGACACAAGCAGGATCTAGACTGAAGCATATGCTCTTACAGCATTCTGATCAGATGACAGGAAAGTCAAAAGGTCTGATTAACCATGGAGCTATGATCCAGAAGGGAGATGCAAGTGGAACGGAAGGGAAGTGGGGGCGGGGGGGGTCTCACGAAGTGTTCCCTAGCTCCCGTCAGCTGTATTTACCAAAGTGTCAAAGGGGTAACAGTCCTCTAACCTCTTTACTCTCTTAACCTTTTAGCTGCCCTTTCTGTAGAGGCTACATCTCTAAAACAAATCTGACATCAAGAAACACCTGCACAAAAAAATTAAATCTATCCAAAGGTGGTTAGACAGAAGGGACATCTCCCATTTATTTCATGACCCACGACCCAGGAATTCAAGCCTATTTGATCTGGGCTAGCACCCTTACAGAGTAACCATTTCTAGCTAGCTACGCAGAAGTATCCTACTTCTTTAAGGACAATTGACAAAGACATTATGGCTGAACAAAGTAAAATGGTCAATAAGAACTCCAACAATATTGAGATACATTCACAATCACAATCCCACCCAAATTTATGACCACATCACCTTCTGATGTCTCGTGAAAGTAGAAGCATTCCTCAACCATGTGCAAAAAAGCTCAGAGTTTTACCGTGATCACAAGGTGCCACTGTCAAGGGATGTCTGCAATTGAAATTATGGTGCTCTTCCTCTCTCATTCAGGCTGACCAATGCCACAGCACTGTGTTTTAGGACACTGCCTTTCTAAAGACAGCTTTAGCAGGAGTGGAAATATGAGTGGGAGCACTCAGGCCATTTAAAAGTTTTTAAAGAATGAACGAGCCAAATTCCACTTCAGTGATTACATTCTTGAAGGTTAAAAATCGGTTTCCATTCCAAATGGAGATACCTGTCTTTTTCATGTCCTGGCCTAAACTATTGCGTAGTACATACATGATGGACTGAAACCATTCCTTTGAATAAAGAATCCATTTTTGGTTTTTTTTTTCCTAAAAGACAGAATTTCCTAATATGCTTTTTCTCTTGACCACAGTTGACATAATTTCCAAGACCATGCAAGATTCATTCTCCTTCTCACTTCATTTAGTACCCATGCAATCTTTTGATTCATACTTCTTACATCCTCTCAGGGTACATCCTCTACTAACACACAAACTGATGCACTGAACAGACTCTTCAGGACCTATTATGTAGTTCTCTTAGGAATGAGGCACCGCTTCTGCAACTACATTTCAGAGAGAGCTGGCTCATCTCCCTGCACTGCTGTAGCCTGAGACAGCACTGAGGCAGTTAATTTGCAAAGAAAGAATTTCTCCTGACTCACATTGTTATCCCAACACTCCCCAAATTCCTCAGACCAAAGAAAAAAAAATACAGAAAGAACCCCCTGCCGCCCCAAGAAAGCATTCTTCATCAGAGTAGCAAGTTCACTTTAATCAGCGGAGGCAGCTTAAACCCAAGTTCATGGCAGATCTAAGCTGCCACAGAAATGTGTTTTGAACAGAAACATTATGGGAAGCTTCACAAAGTTGTTCTGTGATCCTAATATGAAGTAATAAGCTGTTTACCCAGCATGACTGTACTGGGATTAATTGACAAAGGAGGGGAGATTAATTGCTATTATTTCCCTGTCAGCTTCACTCCTCCACACGCTCTCACTGATCTCACAGACTGCTCCCAGCGTTTCACTGTGTTAATGTGTCAGAACTACCTCAGCTGAGACAGTCCTTTACCAAAAGCAATATCCAGAAGAGCAACCTGCTTCTAATCCCCTTCAAGTACTAATGAACCCAAATTTGATACAACAGAATGAACTCTAGCACTCCTTTGCCCATCATCCTGTGTTTCTGTCAGCTTTTCTGCCCATGAGCATGCTAAGAATTGGAAAGGATTAAACAGATCTGCAGTTTGGCAAAGCACAATGAAATTCTGAGCTCTGTGAGGGTGCTGGGGCACTGAAGGAAGAAAAGGGAACAGGGCACATATGTGAGTGGGAATTCTGACAAGTAGGATAAACTTTAAACCATCTCTTTGGACAAGATCTCAGTTCATGAGTACAGCATTGTAACTACCCAAGAAAGTAGCAATAAAGAGCTTAGATAAAAGCCTATTTTCAAAGACCTCATCTACAAAAGCAATTTTTTCTTGGCCTAGCCTAAATTAGGAACCCAAAGCAAGAGAGATAGGCCAGAAAACCCCACAAAGAATTCAGTCCAGTGACAGAAGGCATTAACTAGGAGTTGATTTGAGATTCTGGGAGTGAAAGTACCTGTGTAATGGGTCTTCCCAGGAAAAAGCTGGACAGAGTTACACCAACATAGCTCAACTACTATGACCACAGCAGGAAAACTGAAAACTTTCCCCATGCAATCAAGGCCTAAGACAGTCTCTGGAATGCTGCTAGCTGCTGTTGCGAGAAGTTAAAGGGACAAGGTTTTCTTCTGGCTTCAAGTTTTTCTTTTTCCCACGAGATGGCAGCCTAGTAACACTGTGGAAAGGTTACATCCACCCCAGAAATACATAAATACAAGATTGTGCTGGGGACCACCTTTCTTATGAACTACTTTTTGGTGTAAATTGCTCAAAACAGAGAGCACACGTGGAATTTGAAGATGTAGAAGACTGAGAACAAATGTTTTAAACTAAGATGAGGTTTAGTATTCAGTTAGCAGTGTACCCTCCCAACGAAGCTGATGTGCAATATTCACTATCCCCTAGTTTCTCAGCTAGAAAACCGAGACCCTTTAGGGTCAGGCAGGGCATTTGTGTAAGAATCCAGACTCCCCATTCCCTTGTAAACAGAGAAGGCTTCATTTGCTCCCATCACAAAGACCTTTTGACCTTCTAACATAGCAGATTACTGCCTTCAGCCAAAAATCGATGGCTCTTATCATTCAGGGGTGTTAGGGAATGGAGATTTTTTACAGATGTTTTATGTGCTGGTGATCCAACCTGCTACAGTCAGTAGCTTGTGACAACTAGAATGTTAAGCACGCCTTTTTTTTATTTGAAGGCTGGTTTTGTTCACCTTCATAGTATGTGTATAAAAACCCACAGTTTTCCCAGTGAACTTTCACTCCAGGATACAGATCCCCTCTCCAGGATACAGATCCCCTAGATATTCTGATCCTAGACTCTTCTATGTAGTTGATCTTATGTCTCAAAACCTAGTTCATAGCCTATCAACTTACTTGACCAAAATCACATAGCTTTCCCATGGCATTTGAGCCCTGAACTGCAGGCATCCCGCTGCACCACTACGGCACTCCCCACAGTTCATCTCAGTCCTGCTCAGCAGCCTGGACTATCCAGCGCTGGAATCCAGTCCTGCAGCCAGGCAGTAATGCAGCAGCTCAGCATTAGTTGACCAGAAGGACCTGATTCCAGGCACCCCCCTTCACCAACATTACCTGAATAACCTGGTAGGCAGTGACAAAGGAAGCCATTAATAAGGTCCACGCAGAGCCCTCCATTCTGACACGGCTGGGACCCGCACTCATCAATGTTAGTAAAGCAGGTCTCCCCTTTAAAGTGAAAACACAAATAGGCATCTGAATGACAACTGCATTCATATTTTTTTGCACTTCTTTTTTGTCATCTAAAAATGCAAATAATTTCTTGAACAATAGCATGTCTCTCCAGACACTCTGGCAAATAGATACTATCACTGAGACAATTAGGGAAAACAAAGTACGGAAAGGTCAAATGATTTTCCAGTGTCATGAAAGGGAGCAGTGCAGGATCAGAACTTCTGAACCATTCCCATCTGTGCAATAGTGGACTAAACTCTCATTTTTCTCTCAAAAAAGAATGAAGTATTATTGTTTAGCCCCTCCTACCAGGGAATTTTGCCAGCTGTTAAATCCAGCCTTTTATACATATCTATAAACCAGGGAAAGGGTGATATTTCAGTTGAACATCCACAGAGCTTCTAGCTCCAAGAGCAAGATATCAAGAACCCCCTCTTCTCCTACCCACTATGATTATACAGTTGCTGTCATGAGAGCAGTCTCATTAAGGAAACACCTAGAATAGTTATCTGGGACTCCAGGGAAATAGTTTCCTCTGATGTGGAGTTTCACAGACATCCTGTAGGGATGAATTCTGCCATATGCACAAAAGACTGACAAAGAGAAACCACCCTGGCATCTGCATAGCTAGAGGGCATTCATCAAAGCACTTGGAAAGTGCATAGGCTGTTGCCTCAGCCTTGAGACAGGCTTGCTGGACAGAGAATGACATTCAGACAGCTGTCTGCAATATAGTCATAGAGTATGTGAACAGAAGCACATTCCTGATGCATCAGGCTGCCGCCCACTCTGAAGTACCAGTCGTTAAGTGATTTTTGTTGCACAGATAACATTGCTCCATTCCTATCTATTCAAACCATGCAGCATCTATCAGGTGCAGACAGGATGATCATTTACTGCATAGCTCACCTGCAAAGCCTGGCTGGCATGAACAGAGGAAACCAGCTGCTTGGCTATAGCTGAAATTACTGGGGAAGTCAGGTCGTGTTCCATAATAGGCTTGGTTGGATCGCTCAAAGCATACACCTCCGTTGTGACAGGGATCTGTCGCACACTCATCCACATCCTCTTCACAGTGCTGCCCTGTGTAACCTGCCAGGAGATACCAGTGTCAACATCACGCACAACTTCACTGGAACTAGTATCCCAAATATTGTGGCTGCCTTGAAGGTGAGAATAAGACCCAGAAGACACTGCAGCTCACCTAGTAGGGAGTTACAGGGCCCTCCACTTTCTCCACTATGTCAAACGTAGGAGTCAAATAATCAATTTTCAGGAAAGCATTACCTCATGATAGAAAAACACATGATGGAAAATGGCAAAAAAGAGAAAGAAGAAATTACGGTTGAGAATCAAGGTGCATTTCCCAGCAATGCGGTCAACTGGATTTTGGGATGCCCTGTGAAAGGCAGCATGACAGCCTCACTGTTCCAGACAATAAAAAAAAAAAAAAAAGAAAAAGAAAAATCACACTGCACCATGCAGTATGATTATTAATTCTTTACTTATTCAACATGGCAATTTAGCATGTGCTCTCCATTGCAGTGTGCCTACGTGTCAGCATAGCAAAATAGATTTCTAACCTACCTGGCCAGCAGGCACAGCTGTAGTTTTTGATTCCCTCCACGCATGTGGCACTGTTCAGACAGGGTTCAGAGGCACACTCCAGGATATCCAACTCACAGTGGTCCCCCTCGAAGCCTGTGTCACTGCAGTCACAACGGTAGCTGTGGGGCAGCAAAACAGAGCAATGCATAAGCTCTTGACTGTAAAGCCCAGTATGAGGAACGAGCAAATGGAGCTAAGCTGTTAGTCCTCATGCCCACTTGTGGGGCAGAGGAAAAAGACAGTTCCATCTGCACAAACAGGCCACGCTAATGAGAGAGCAGACAACCCTCAGCAGCCTCTGAGTTCACACCTTACCTGCGAAAAGGTAAATTCAGACACACAGGCATGTTCTCAGCAGTTGCCTTTGCTGTTCATGCTCTGCAAATCACTTCCCTTTGTATCCGATATGGCAGCTGGAAGCAATAGCAGGAATCTTTTCCTACCTTCCTTTAAGCATCCTAGGAGTTCTGCTGCTGGGAGGGGCCTTCTCGCTTATTGCCATAAATGACTCTGTTACTGCCACTGGGATGTACAAAACACTAAATCCAATTCCTCCCACAGATTTCTACTCTAATTTTCACAGGTTACACTAAGTAGACCTTTAGAATCACAGAATCATAGAATCATTAAGGTTGGAAAGACCTCTAAGATCATCGAGTCCAACCGTTGACCCAACACCCCCATGCCCACTTTAAACCATGTCCCTAAGCGCCTCATCTACACGTCTTTTACATACCTCCAGGGATGGGGACTCAACCACTTCCCTGGGCAGCCTGTTCCAATGTTTAACCACTCTTTCAGTAAAGAAATTTTTTTAGATCAGTCCTGGTATCTAATAGCCCAAGCAACACTGATTTCTCACCTGTTAATGAGGTCATGACATGTCCCATTGTGCTGACATGGCTGGCTCACACATTCATTGATGTCCACCTCACACTGGATTCCTTGGTAACCTGATGCACAGGTGCAGGTGTAGAACCCAACATGATCATTGCACAGGGCCCCATTCTGGCAAGGGTCTGAATCACATTCATCTATTTCAGCATCACAGTTCACACCTTTGTTACAAAACAGAGAAATATCTGTGTTACAAATCCAGAAAAGTATATCTGTGCTGCCTGGACTTGTGAGCTGGAATCACAAAAGCCATGTTATCAACCCAAACTGGCTAGCATAGTGATCTGTTCTAATTTTGTCATAAGAATATTGGGAGCTCATGAACAGTATGTGATTCTTACAAATTAAGGACCTTTAATTTTTATTTGCAAACAAAATTATTTTGTCTAGACTTCTGGATTTTAGTCTTCTATCAAAACTAAAAATAGTTTCCAGTATTTGCGAAGCTTTAGTCTCTTTCATTCAGGTTTGTTGAAGTAGCCAATCGGTCAGCACTTCACAAATAACATCCATTTTCAGAGTAAGCCATAAAATCTTGATCTTACATACAGCTCTTAAAAATCTAATGATAGCTGTTTTGGTTTGGGATCCTTTGAGGGCAGGGAGGACAGGGGTGGGAAGAGAAGAATCACACTGCTAGTCAGTGTTATTTAAACTTCTATATATGATAGAGCTCTTACAGTTTTAGTTAGACATGGTACTCTTCACTTGTGTTGCGTTGCTATTAATCAGATCCAGTGTTCTACATCAGAGGCAGTTGCATTTTGGATATGGGAAAAGTGATTTCTACCTGCTTCTCCAAAACATTGTTCCATTTGTTTAAATAATATTTGTAACTTGCTTTGAGATACCTAGGAAAAAAGCATTAAAGCAGTGCAAAACGCTAATTACAGTGATACTAGATATTAGTAAGTAATTTTATTATGAAATGCTATTAAAAACTAGGTGTTAGCTCCAGTACTACTAGTGAAGAATAACAGCAAGTCACGCATTTTTGTTCCAAAGTCTCAACTTTCCCTGACAGAATAAGACCTCCTGTGCGACTTCTATGCAACTATCTTACCATACTATATTCCACCTCTTTGAGTTGTCCGTGGCCTGGCATCACCTCCAAACCTTAGTCATTACAGTGGCACCTGCCAATCCATCTAATCTCCCCTTCTTGACAAAGGCTCACCACATAGTGGACATGGCCATCCTAATCCTGACGGAATGCGGGCCCCCTAATCTGCTGGTTCAAACCCGTCAATACCCACTCAAAACTTCCTTCACCCACATTCCAGCTGCAAGCACCAGGAAACAACCTGGCCTTGCTAGCCAGTGGTGCTAGAACCTCTGGATGAAGCACCATTTCATAAGGCAAAGCCTCATATTTGACATCAGAATAACTTGGAGCACAACAAGCTCCTCCAGCTGCCTGGGTCATTTTATCACTTCCTTGGCGGGGGATCCCACAATCCTGAATTGAGGATTCAGCATAAAGATAAAAAAGAAACTGATTTGCAAAGACAGAATTATGCTTGATACTCAAAATCAGTAGTAGGCCTACACAGAAATTCTGCTTTTTTTTTCTCCTTAATCTCTGTTCATTTTTATCAGTGAGTGAGTCAGCATCAGGGACTGCATTCCTGATGTTATAACTTCTCCTCATTCCACTGGTAATCAGCAGCATTCCTTCACAGCAACCTAACTCTTTAAACACTTCAGTCTGTGACAACGAGGAAGGCTGAGAAAGTTCATGTGCTAGGTGGTACCAGGCAGACATCAGCGCAGTACAATTGCATTCCACTCCGATAAGCAGGGCTGGAGAAAGGAGAACCCCCCACTGCCTCCCTCACAGATAACTCACAGGTGTAGATTACTCTCTGAGCCACCATTAGCACAGATGCACAAAAAAGAGATACTTATGTCACACACCAAAAAACATTTGCCAGGCCTGAAAGAACTGGAAAAGAAATATCCAACTAAAAGCCAATTTATTCCAAAAAGACTACTTCCCTCAGAGAAATCCTGCAGGACAGGACAAGGAACTACAGGCCAGATAGGCAGAGATAAGTTGTACCTGGAAACACTAAGTATAGATTTCCTGATAGTAAGTCTCTTTTCTTGTATAACTCCCTTAATTTCATACTGAGAGCTAATCACATCTACTTTGTATCTAGTACTCAAGTCTCAGACAGTCCACCCACTTCCACTCTTAGATTCATGTCTCAATATCCACACCATCCATGGAAATCAAAGCCTCAACTATTGCCCAGAAGCCGCAACAAGCAGCCCGACACCATTATTCACACACAGTACCAAACACTCCAGAAATATGAGTTGTGCAACAGAGATTTAGTCTCATAGCTGTAAAACAACAGCTTCTCAGGACAGCTACTAACACTACAAGACACGTTAGCAGCAGGCAAATTGTGGAACTATATGAACAGTGAGACGTAACCCAACCACCCGGCTAGTACATGAGCATGAAAGGTACCTGTGTAGCCAGGGACGCACTTGCACAAATAGTGATCCATCTCATTCAGGCAGGTGCCATTGTTTTTACAGGGCCGGGATGCACACTCGTTGATGTCTATTTCACAGTTGTATCCTTGGAACCCAGGCACACAGAAACAGCTATACTCATTCACCCTGTCTCGGCAGATGGCTCCGTTCTGGCAGGGGTTGGAGGCGCACTCATCAATGTTGTCTCTGCAGTTGGCCCCGGTGAAGCCAGGCTGGCAGATGCAGGTATAGTCCCCAGGACCCTCGACACATGTCCCGTTATTTAGGCAGGGGTGGCTAGAGCACACAGAGCTTTCTGTTTGGCAGCCTTCTCCATTCAGTCCTGTTTGGCATTTACAGGTGTATCCACTTACACTATCTACACATTCAAAACGAGGATCTTTACAAGGGTTGCTCTCACACTCATTAATATTAATGTTACAATCAATACCTGTGAAGCCAGGCATACAGATGCATTCATATTCCAGGAGTCCTGGAGTCCCGTTGCAAATCCTATGGGCAGGACAGTCATGTTTAATGCATGCGTCATAGAGGAGTTCACAGTTTATGCCCATGTAGGCTACAGGCTCCATAGGGCAGGTGCACCGGTAACCCACTTCCAAATCCTTACAGCTCCCACCATTTTCACATGGGGATGAGGAACAGCTGCTATCATCTTCAGAGTATGAAGTTCCTGTTGAGAAAAGAGACTTTTTGTTAGTCAGCATTTGTAGCCCTAAAAGAAAAAGTTCTGCCAATCACCACATACAACTCAGAGACTGCCCACCTAAATTCCACACTGCAAGGGGCTGTTCTAGCCATTAGCTGCGAAGGATACTGGAGAATCAAACATTTACTATAAAGAAGACAACACAACATGCCTTTATATCATGGCAATCAGGAATGTCTTGCTAAGTCAGGTGACTAGATGCCTGTTTTTCAGGAGGCACTCACAAACCAACCATTTTACTTGTGCTTTTTCATCCCTGAATCACTTTTAGAGCAGTGAAACATATCACCTTAAATCCATACACAAGATGAACTTTGTGTAAAATTCAATGACCCGTTTCACCAGTAGGGCACAAGACTTGTGCTTTGAAATCCAGAGAGGTAGATGGTATGTTTTAAGATATTGGCTGTTGCTCTTAATGTCCCGGCTGCTCCTTCTGGGGACATGATTTTTTCCCAGCTAATCCACTAGTGATCTGAAGATGCTGCCATAAACAGTCCAACCCAAATTCCAAACTGCCACACTTCACAGTCTCTGATGACACGGATCAGCTCAAAGTTTGATAATCGCTGGCCAGGCACCCTCTCCCCATAGCTTAGACATGTAAATTTACACAGTACAAAATTTTTAGGTGTTATAAGAACAGCAAAAAAGAGCAGAGACCGATGAGATTCACTGTAGTGATGGCATTTTAGATCCAAACTCTTAGTATCTGCAGAGCCAAAACACCAGTCTAATATCCAGATACCAGCAACTAATGTTGAGACCAGATTCCCCTAAATCTGGGAGCATTTGGGTGTGATCAATTTATTCACGCCCAGCCACAATGCCTTGCTGTCCCAGAAATGGCAGTGTTTAAAAGGCTCTTGCCCCGTTAAGCAATTCCACCATCCAGAAATGTGATGGGACATGCCCATGGGACTGCAAATTTAATTCATACAAATGAGATTATACAGGATGCATGATATAAAAAACAAAAAAGTGTTCAATTTAGGTATTTGTCAATGGAGCAGAATGGAAGAATAGGAGGAATCCTCATTTCTTTTCCAAAAGAAATTTCAAAATCACTTTCTGAAACAATCTGGTCAAAGGGCAGAACAGCCCAGGGGACAGGAGACAGTTGCCTTGATATTAGAATTAGGATATATGCCCTGGACTCAATGACACAATTATACACTTTCCGAAGAAAAAAACCCCAAAAATACTATAAAGGGACAAAGGCAATGCAAACAGAGAACTTCCCCCTTCACAAAGGCAGCAATCATTAGCCCCCCATCCCACTTTCTTCCAGGATACATAGGATAGAAACTGGGGTAGAGATACCTCAGACTGATTCCTGCGTAAGTATTATGAAACATCCAAACTTGGAAGTAACTCTGCAGACAACTACATAGCAGATGTTTTGAAAATGTCTACAAAAAATGGCCGCAAAGCAGAGGTAAAGGTCACGAAATAGCAAATGGTATCTGAGAAATAGCGACTGCTTCTCCTGAGACAATCCTGACTTTGCCTAGCATTGGAAGTCAAGCAATCACTAGCATTTAACCTTGTTTTTAGATGCCATTGTGTAAGCAGCTCTTTCCCCTTTTCGCTGCCTTCTGGATGTAACTGTGGGCCAGCTAGTGACAGGAATAACTCCACAAAACTGCAGGTGGAGAGTGGGCAGTTACTCTGACACTACCCACAGCTCACCACCCTTGACCCTCACTGCATTACTGCTAGTTGAGAAATGTTTTAACGTGCCATGCTCCATGCTAAGGATTTGCCAGGATCACACACCACAGCATCATTTCTCAGCTGACCTTACACATTCTCTCATAGAGGCCGTCATTATCCCAGCCCATTTTTGGTCATGTTTGCCTTGCTCTGGTGCACCTTCTACACACCCAGTAGTTAATCTGTGTGAGTGGTTTTCTATCAGCTCACTGCCCCATCAGCTCCTCAGTCTCTTTGTACCTGAAGGTGGAGGCATCTGACTTCAGGGCCTGAAAGGGATTTATAGGAGACTTTGGTTTACAAAAGCCTGCCCCTGCCCTGACCTCCCCCAAATTCCTCCCACCAAAAGACTGTAGTGTTTCTAAGTCTTCTTTTAAGAGGCAGTGTTGATGGGGGAGGGTGCTCAGGGATTTAGACAGCCCTTTCTCTTCCCAGCATCATCTCTATGGCCCACCCCTCCCTTCCTCTCTCATGTGATGCTGGGGAGAGTTGCTGAGCATTGCACTGTCCAGCAATCTCATTATTCTGCCATCAACCCTTTTATTCTCAGATTCCCAGTCAGGCAGAAAACAAGGATGACGCAATCTGCCTGGAATCTCTGTAGCAATTAGAGTGGGAACCCAGGAAACTATTCGCAAACGAGCTTTACTAGGCAGGAGATATGAGCCTTTGTATACTTAATGAGTAACCAGTCCCAGCCTGCACTTTCCACAGGCCAGGAGAAGAGCCTGTTGATAAAAAAAAGAGACCAAGTCCACTGCATGTTCAGAACAACTTCGATTTTCAGCAGACTCCATCTGCAAAGAAACTCGCATTTCAACAGAACCACCAAGCACTGCTAGTGTAGACAGGCTGAAGTAATTTCAAAGGCTACATGCATAGTTTTCTGCTTCCATTATAAGTAGACAGTCTAAATGCTTCTTGCAAATAAAGATAAACATCAAATCCCTTTGCTATTTCCTGTCTTTTCCAAAGTTCTCTCACAACAGACGTACCTTTTTGTTCCTTCTTTATTTTGGTTCATCATATGACTGCAATGCTCAATAATCTGTGTTGGTCATTAATGCCTGTCCACTACAAAAAGATTTGGTGACAAATATATGGCCCCATAGTCACACACAAACTTGTAGACGCAACAGGGCTGACCTACAGACAGATACCAAGTCAAGCAAACACAAAGCTTCACTAAAAAGTCAAAAGGCTCTCTTGGTTTACCAAAGAACAGCAGTAAGGTAATAGGGAGAATTCCAACCTCCTCTAGACTCACTGTGATCATGAGCAATAGCAGTGGTTAACTAGTTACATGTACTCATAATCTGTGGTGAATAACTAGTTATATACAGGACTGCGTAGAGAAAAGTTGAATTCCTGCATTGTTACTGTACTAGTTTTAGCTACTTTCTTGGACCAAATGTTATTTTATTTATGTCTA